TATTACATTGGGTAGAATATATTTAATATATTTTTTCTTTTTATTTCAATTTCCCACAATGCCTCTGGTATAGCATCATTCCAGAGCAGTGGCTCCCAACATAGGGTCCCCAGATGTTCTTGGACTGCAACTCCCAGAATTCCTGGCCACCACAGCTCAGGGTGAAGGCTTCTGGGAGTTGTAGTCCAGGCACATCTGGGGACCCAAGGTTGGGAACCACGGCTCTAGAGAAGATTATGGGAAATTTAAATGGGCTCCCAATGACGGCGCCATTAAAAAACCAGCTATGGTCTCCCCATCTAATCTAGATATAAGGCTATGCTATACTCAGCTATATCACTTTGATACCCCCTGAAGCTATCCTGGCGCCATTCCAAGGATTTATAGATTGGTGAAATATTTCGATTTCTCTGCAGGTGTACATTTACCTACAGGCTCTTCCTGACCTGTTCCAGAATCTTCCGAGACATTCTGTGGTTCTGGCGAGTTCCTGAGAAAGGGGGAAGAAAATGGTTTTTTTTAAACACAGAGGGAGCTGTCATCAGGTGACCCATGCCACCCGGGTGGAGTATCTCATCCCAGTAAGACTCTGCGGCTGGGGGCTCTTGTTTTCCTCCTCCCTCCCCATCTGCCTTTCCTCTTGTGTCATTTCTCTTTTTTTTGAGATTGGAAGTCTGAGGAAAGGGACTGTTTTGTCTCTTCGCTTTGAGACCCTTTCCGGATGCAGAGCAAGGAGAAAAAAAAAGGAGATGTCAACAGACTTTGGAAGCAGCTACACCAGAAAAATCCTGAACTTATTCGTCTGGAATTCGTCCAGCGCACTCTTCTCTGAGAAGGTGACCAGGCCTCCCAGCTTCATCCATATCCATTTAAATTTCCCAAGGCTAATTAACGGGACATGGGAAGGTTCAGAATCCCAAATCTCAGCTCCAGTTCTGGCCCAAAGAAGATCAAGTCCCATAAGGTCCCTTCCAGCTCTGCAGTTCTAAGAAGATAATGAGGATGATTCGACACCATACTCATCACAAGCAATTAACATTATAAAAACATTGACTCGTGCTATATAACAGACACAAGTTTTAACCTTAAACCTAAGTCTCTAGTAAAAAAATGGCTCTGTATGTATGTTGTTCTCAATATTGTTATTTTTTGTAGCTCTGATGATGTTATTTCTGAAATCTGTAACCCATCATCATCATCATCATCAGTCAGGTCCAAACTCAATCTGTCCAGAAACCAAATTAACCTCATTTCAATCTTAAACGCTACTGGAAACTGTTTAGAATCATAGATTCTGCCATTTACTTGGAAAGTTCATAAGATTGAAATTATCATTACAGCCGGCACCGACAATTTCGAACAAGTTACTAGTTCTTCAGAAGAGAACTGCTTTACACCATCAAGGTCCACGTCAATGGCTCTGGGTGTGTAATTTCTTTAGAGTTTTCCTCCCCCCCCCCACTTTCTGTTCTGTTTTTTTTTAATGGTTCTTATGACTTGGCTTTATCCCTAACAGAACGGCACTTGTTTTTCTTGGTAGAAGTCTCTCTCTCTCTCTTTCTCTCTCAAACACACATTCCTTTACACACCAGTCCAGCAGAACTCCTGTGTTGATAGATCCAGCTAATTCTTTCCTGTACTGTGTTTTCCCCCTTAAGGTAGAGCACCATCATTTTTGAAGGACAAAAAGCCAGTTTCAGGGTCAGTGTCAGCAGCCAAGACATCTATCTATCTATCTATCTATCTATCTATCTATCTATCTATCTATCTATCTATCTATCTATCTATCTATCTATCTATCTATCTATCTATCTATCTATCTATCTATCTATCTATCTAATGTTAACAATTCTACATCTTAAAATATTGCAATAATTAAATATTGAAAGAAATTCACAGCACTGCCCCATGCATTATTTTTAAAAAGTACGCAACTACTGTAGAACTGAAAACAGAAGCGAGTCTAAACTATGAGAGGAGAGAGGGATGATCTAGATAGCCCTACAATCTTTAATTGCTCAGGTCCTCTTGAGCTCAAGATAACTTTCTCTAGATGACCACGAAGGACGTGAGGAAGATTTCAACATCGGTCATGAGTCCGTAGGTCCAGTAAAGGGAAATAAAAGAGATTATAAAACCGTCCTTGTATTTGGTAACTTCTAGCTGCTTTACTTTTTTCGGGTTGACTTTTCCATCAAAGCAAAGAAATGCCGTCTAGAGAGAAAGGCTTGGATTTTGAAAATCTACGGGTCGCTCCCTAGTAACCTCAGCCATTTATTTCTTTGCACCTGTCCTACCTCAAAGGGTTGTCGAGAAGAGACCGCTGGGAGACAAGACAGCCATGTAGCTAGTGGGACTCTAACCCCATTTATTCCCATAGTTCTCCTCCATCTTCAATCATCCAGAAATGACTTTACCTGATTCGGGGGCTTTCAGTCATCTTCCCACTGCTTCTGATGGCTTCTTTAGAGGATGCTGGCTCTTTCTGAGAGGACAGGCCAGCTTCAAAAAAAGGCTAAAGATCCGTGGGTGTCTTTCGGGCAAAATATTAACAAGCCACTGGTGTGACTTGAAAAACCAGCCACAAGCAGAGAGGGGCTTGGACCATTTAAAAAAAATCCAAACTCAAGAGGCGGAGACTTCTTAAAACTAATTCTCTCCCAGCTTTTAGACATGCTTTTTTTTAAAAAAAGCCTCAATGGCTGGATATTGTTCAACTGTTAAAACTTTTCTTTCACTGAGCTTTCTTTAATTATCCATGAGAAGAATGTCAATGAGACTGGGAACTTATTAAGATGCAAATTCTCTCTCTCTCCCTTCCCCTCCCTCTTGCCTGCATTCTGTGCTCCTGCCCTATATTCAATCTCTTTGGAAAAAAAAACTCAATTATTTTCATTAACTATAACTGTCTGGGAAAGCCATGGGAAATAAGTGGAGAGGTGGAACGGATCTCACCCCGAATTAGAAGGGGGAAAGAGGGTTTGTTTTTTTTATCAGACTCTTCGGCTGCTTCTCCGCAGAGTAAGAAATAAGTGGAGAGGTGGAACGGATCTCAGCCCGAATTAGAAGGGGGAAAGAGGGTTTTTTATCAGACTCTTCGGCTGCTTCTCTGCAGAGTAAAGAGAGAGAGAAAGAGGTGAAGTCAGAGAATGGTCCAAAAATGGGACAGGGAGGCCCTTATTGTGGAAAATAACTGCCACAAAATCCATCAGCCCTTGTATCTTATATGTTAGTTTCTTGTTGAAAAATTCCATGTCACCAGCCTTGACGTGGACTGGGTTCTCTCATCTAGCACATTTTCAAAGAGGCATTTTATACCAACAGTTATAAAGTGTAGGGAGGTGTGCATTCAAATTTTATTTTATTTGTGCAAGACTTTCCCCCACTCCACATGGTAACCTCTCAATACCTGTGCAGACAAAATGACTTTCAGATCAATTCTCCACCAGGGAGGGTGAAACTCCAGTCATGGGACTTGCTATCAAGTCAGATCTTAAGTGACTCAACTTGGATTTGACTCACCCACCTCTCCGTTTTTTCTGGGGGTGGTGGATGTTGTTTTTCATAGGGACTCAGACTCGGGACTTGGGACTTGGTACCGAATCCTGAGACTTGGGACTTGGCACCAAAGATTTGCCAGCATCCCGCTTCTCCATCCTACTACTGTACATGCTTCCTATGTTGTTCATTACATTTGTTCATTATTTATTACTTTAAAAACTACCTCGTGGGAGAAAAGCCAGCCTTGGGGGCCTTGATAACGTATATACGCATCAGTTAGTAGGTCTTTATTATTATTGTGTGTGTTATTTTATTGTATTTTATTGTATTATTGTATTTTATTACTCATGTAAGCTGCCCCGAGTAGACTTTGTCTAGAGGGGCGGGGTATAAGTTCAATAAAGTAAAGTAAAGTTAAAGATGCACAGTTCCAGGGAAACCCCAGAAAAACGGAACAAGAAAACACTTCTGAGCGTTCTCTACCACTTAGAATGGACTTGACCGCGAATCATGATAATCCTTATCTCTTTTAAGCCATGTTTGCTGGGGTGGGATGGGGTGGTGATCTGCTTTTTGAGACTAGCCATCACACAACTTCATCGCCATGATTCTGAGATTTTGGGAGTTTGCCGTCCGAATAAAGTGGCGTTTCAACGCCACATTGGCTTTCATCAATGGTGCCAAACTGTCGCAGAACACAGAGTAAACCCCATGCTTTAAAAAGTAACAGCTACGCACACTTAAAAACACAGAGTGCAAAGATAACCTAAATAAAGCAAATAGGGATGGGAATGAAATTAAAACGGGAGAACAAAACGTCTGGTTCCCAAGCAACCACGGAGTCAAAGAGAACATCAACATTCTGCCAGCCCTTGTCTGACAGTTAATGGAGACAAGGGGAGTGCGTATATTCCTCGGAGGATGATTTTTCTGAAGCCACTAAAGTGGTATTAGCTGCCCTGCTAAATTTTTTAATCACATTTTCAGTCCAGGTGGCTTTGAGCATCTCATGGTTAGAATCACCGGCCAGCATCTCGACGTCCGCACGGATATGTTTCACGCACCCTTCAACCTCAGCCCAATTTACAGTTAAATAAATGTTGTCCGCATATTTATCCAGTTCATTCCGTCAAAAAAACGGTAAGTTTGAAAGACCCTTTGTAACCCTTCCTCAGGTATTCACAAATGTGTTGCAGGATCCCTGTTTGATGCTCTTCTAAGATAAGCTTTGAAACTTATAAAGAAGCTTGGATTTGAAGCCTTATGCTCAACATCTATAGCTAGGTTGGGGCCTCCAGGTCTTCTTGGACTCCACAGCCCAGCAGTCCAAGGCAGTATGACCAGTGACCAAGGATAATGGGGCTTAGATTAGGCGTCCTTCAGTCTCAAGAGACTATGGTGATATGCTCCGTATGGAGGTCTTGGAACAGCGTTTAGTGTGGCTGAGAAGGCCAATTCGAGAGTGACCATCCCTTCCACACTGAAGACAAATACAATACTGTCCCCCATCCATCTCCCTGATTTTGCTGGTTTCGGGACTGCCTCTTTGCCTCGGCCTGCTGGACAAGGGTCTCTTCAAATTGGGAGAGGCCGTGATGCAATGCCTACCTCCAGGCTGAACGCTCAGAGGTCAAGGTTTCCCATCTGTTGAGGTCCCTTCCTAAGGCCTTCAGATCCCGCTTGCAGATCTCCTTGGATCGCAGCTGTGGGGTCCCTCTGGGGTGATTTCCCTGCACTAATTCTCCATCCAGGAGATCTTTTGGAATCCGACCATCAGCCATTCTCACAACACGCCCGAGCCAAGGTAGACGTCGCTGTTTCAGTCATGTGCACATGCTAACAATTCCAGCTCGTTCTAGGACTAAAATGGGTCTTATAGTCCAGAAATCTCTGGAGGGCTACTGGTTTCCCATCCGCAGGAATCCAGCTCTGTCGTAAGCTGTGCCAGATGGCAGTGAAAACCTATAACTGTTTGTTTAGAGGTAAGTCCTGTTCTTTTTCCATAGGCTGACTCCCCAGAGAAATTTTCCTTCTCGCTTTTCCTGGTCCCACACCAGAACAAAAGGTGCCAGTTGTTCTCGGGGGGGGGGGAACAGCTAGGTTTCACAAAGACCTCCTTCAGAGGTTGGGTGTCTTAGAAAATAACCGGGGGGGGGGGAACAGCTAGGTTTCACAAAGACCTCCTTCAGATGTTGCATGTCTTAGAAAATAATTTAAGATGTTTTGGGGGTTTTATTTTAATTCCTTCCCAAAGGAGCTCAACTTATTTTCTAAGCCGGTCAGATCTCGGTCAATACAAGTCAAGCGGGTGCGTCGAAGGGGTCAGGATCACCCATTGCTGATATTTACACAAAGCTACGTCTAATAACATTACAATTTTGTTTTCTTTCTTCTGAAGCCTGAGGATTCCCCTTGATTTCCCCACTCCCATAAATCTAAATCCAAGCGACTACACCATGGAGTCCGAAGAGGAGAAAAACCCTGACGGACAGCCCAAAGAGGAGAACCAACCTGAAGGATCCTCCGCAGAAGATAAGACGCCTAATAAAGAATCCGGGGAAGAGAATCAACCTAGTGGGAATTCCACAGAGAAGAACCCAACAGATGGACAACCCACGGAAGAAAAGCAAGCAGACACAAATGCAGTAAGAATCATCTTTTTTTTCTTTTCTTGAAGAGGTATTCCCCTCTTGAATTCAACATGTTGTAGGATCACATTTCTGTAGGCTTTCGGTAACCAGGGGCTGGTCATTTCAGGAATTCATTCTGCGATGAGGTTCTAGATTTACTCCTCTAAATTGTGGCCCTGCTTCCACCGGGGTCTGTTTACAGTTTGTATAACTTGGGGTGGCTAATTCAGAAAGCGCCCAAGGTACCTCTGGGTTGCACAATTGTGTGTGTGACCTGATGCACAACCGAGGTGGAACCTGACGCCTTGTCCATGAGCTGCAATTAGCAATGGCCGGGTGCACCAGAGCACTTCTATTTTTTTGATCCTGGGCCGGTTCAAAAGGAAGCTTCCGCCAGGTCGAACCCGCACATGGCAGGAATGGGCGGTCACATTTATCCCCTTCATCTTGGCCACTCTTGATCCATGCGTGAGCATCATGTTTGTGAAGAAGCGGTGTGCCCACGTAGTTAAGGGGACAAACACTGCAACTGATTTTTGCAGTGGCGTGAGATATGGAGTGCTCGCCTTGCCTTTAGCCTGGGGGGGGGGGCTGGCCTCAGACAAAAGAGCCATGGGGGGGGGCAAAGGCATTTCCCCCTTTTGCCCTGCCTGCCCTAGAACACCCGGGG